CAAACATGCAACTATTTACAATGCTGAGTCACCCACCGGAGTCAGGATTCCCATGTCTTTCTGATGCACACAAGTAAAGAATCCAATGCTGAGTTACCCACCTAAGTTAGGATTCCAATCTTGGATTCCCTGCATTGGGTTAGACAAAAAAGCAGAAACCATGTGAGGGAGCATTGGATTCCAATCTTAGACAAAATCTTGGATTCCAATCTTGGATTCCCTGCATTGGGTTAGACAAAAAAGCAGAAACCATGTGAGGGAGCATTGGATTCCAATCTTAGACAAAATCTTGGATTCCAATCTTGGATTCCCTGCATTGGGTTAGACAAAAAAGTAGAAACCATGTGAGGGAGCATTGGATTGAAACCAATGGACTTCATTATAAATAGACTACTTTCATTCTTTGAAGTTCTCACATTGCACACTCCTAAATCTCTGAAGCTATTTGCATTATTTCTTCTTCTTACCTTTAGTCTTCTTTGTGTTCCACACTCCTCAAATGGGTGTAGTGTCTACTATTGTCCACTATGATGGTTTCATGAACCCATGTCCCATGGAGGGAGTTACCTTCAATACTAGGACTGCAAAACTTGTTCCTTTAAAGAGAGGAATTTCTGTACAAAGGCTGAAGAAGTTGATCCACAAGAAATTGGAGAAAGAACCCCATGAAAATGTAGCAACCATCCATTTTCGCTGTCCAACTAGACTCGGAGTTGGGATCAACAAGTTCATTGCTGTTGAGTTGAAAGATGATGACGATGTGGAGGCCATGTTCGATGTGCATGATTCAAACTCAAGTCTATGTGGTATTGAAATTTTTGTTTCATTTAAAACTTCTTCTTCTTCATACCCCAACACACACTCACCAGAAATTTCACCCTTACCCTACCAAGCTTTGCCAAACACTCACCCAAAAATACCCACACATAATGACTACATCCCTTTGACCCAACTTCTAAGTGGCCCTTCCACCAACATCAACGAAGAACTACCCACACAAGAGAACGAAATTGTTGGCCTCCCAATTGAAGTCGTTGATCCTTTTAGTGAGGATGAAGACGAAGATGAAATTCTCAGCCAACACCAAGATGATTCAGAGGACGAACAACCACATATCCCTACACATGCACCAAACTTCATGGAACCATTCAACCCACCACAACATTTTCTTAACTTTGAAAATCACATTCAACAACAAGACCCAGAGTATGGTCATGCGTTGGACAGAGAGTCTTTTGTTTCTCCGGCAGGAACTCTATTTCTTGGACAACGTTTCATAACAAAAGAACAAGTTCAAGATGTCATCAACCGTTTTCACATTGTCAATCACTGCACATACAAGGTGAAAATTTCAAACCAAAGTAGATATGTTGTTGAATGTGGTGATAACCAATGCAATTGGAGATGTCGAGCAATATTGCGTACAAGAGAGCAATATTGGGAGATTATGAAGCTTGAAGGGCACCATACATGCGTTTCGCCATTAATCAGCCAAGACCACAACAAGTTGGGATATAAAATGATTTCCCAAACAATTGGTCAACTAATTGATGCTGATTCGTCAACACCAATATCCACAATCATAGCCCACATCCAATTAACAACGGGTTACACTATAACATACAAGAAGGCCTGGTTGGCAAAACAAAGGGCAGTGGAGATCATCTACGGCAATTGGGAGGATTCGTATAAGAAGTTGCCTTGTTTGTTACAAGCGATGCAACAATTTGTTCCCGGATTCATCTACAAACTGCAGTCACAACCAACTTACCAAGGTGAAGTCCTTCAACAAAATTCAAATATTTTTAAACGTGTGTTTTGGGCGTTTAGGTCATGCATAGATGGATTTGTTCACTGCAAGCCCATTGTTCAAGTGGACGAAACTTTTTTGTATGGAAAATATAGAGGTACCTTGTTGGTTGCAGTAGCACAAGATGACCGCAACAACATCCTCCCCATTGCGTTTGCAGTGGTTGAAGGTGAAACAAGTGATGCCTGATTTTTTTTCTTAAAAAACCTTCAAAGATATGTCACACCCCAACAAGGATTATGCCTCATATCAGACCGACATGAATCCATTAGAAGTGCATACATGAGAAATGGAAGCGGATGGACAGAAAATAATTCAATGCATGTCTACTGCATTAGACACATTGCACAGAATTTTATGAGACATTTCAAAAACACCGCACTGAGGAAAGATGTTGTAAATATGGGTAATTCCTTTGCTTCAAATTTGTTTCAATTTATTCATTATATAATTGTTGCTAATAAATATATATATTAACTATGTTTTTTTAATATTGTTGTAGCGTATGGGATGACTGAACCACGATTCTACTATTATTACAACATCTTGAGGCAATGTGACATACAAGCAGCTAATTGGTTGGATGAGATACCTAGAGAAAAATGAGCACTTGCATGGGACAATGAGCGACGTTGGGGCCACATGACAACCAACATAGCAGAGTCTATCAACTCTGTTTTGAAAAAAACAAGAAATCTACCTATTTGCTCCATGGTCACCGCAACGTACACCCGTTGCAACAAATTTTTCATTGAAAGAGGGAGGCAGATAGATGCCATCATCAATGCTGGTCATGTATACTCTGAAATTTTGGTCAAGAATTTAGAGGAAGCACAAACACAGGCAATCACGCACAGGGTCATAATGTTTGACAGGTCTACCACAAAATTTGTAGTAGAAGAAACACAAAACCCGCGTGAAGTTCGACCAGCAGGGAAGTTTGCAGTTCACCTTGATGAGTTATGGTGTGACTGTGGGAAATTCCAAAAATTTCACATGCCTTGTTCACATGTTCTTGCTGCATGCAAGCATGCACACCATGACTTCAACAACTATATTAATTCAGTGTATACCTTACAACAAGTTTCAAAGGTATACGGAACACAATTTGGGTTATTGCGAAATGAAGAATATTGGCCAACATACACAGGACCTACTTTGTGTGCAAATCCAGAAATGAAAAGAACTTCAAAGGGCCGACCAAAATCAAGTCGTATAAGAACTGAGATGGACATTACAGAACATCAAAGTAGGATTAAAAAATGTTCATATTGTCATACCCCTGGTCATAGCAGAAGAACATGTCCCAATATTGCATGTGCATCTACTTCGCATCATTAGATTGTGTTAGTTAAGAAATGTCTCAATGTATGAAACTTAGGAGTTTTTCAATTAATTGAAAATGATGAAGATCTTATTGAATCATTTGATAAAACGAAGATCTTATTCAATGTATGTTTAAAAAGTTCAAGCAAACTGATTTTAAAGAGTATTTTCATAACTGCTGCATTAATTAATCTGTTGAAAGTTTGTTTTAATCTGTTGAAATAGCCGTTTCAATCTGTTAAAAGTCCTTTCAATCCATTAATACGTTCTTCATTCTTTAACAGATTTGTTTTAGCTGATACTACAACGGTTATATCAATTAAAACACTTTACAAAACTTTTCTAAGTTTGATTCAATCGATTGTTTCGTGTTTTAATCGATTGATATACTGCAAAACTTTCTTATAAAAACTTTCCAAGTTATTTTAGCTGATAAAAAGAAGTTTTAATCGATTAAAACTTTGTACAAACTTTTTCGAAGTTGTTTTAATCGGTTGAAACGTGTTTTAATCGATTGAAACTCTGTACAAAATTTTTCCAAGTTATTTTAATCGATTGAAATACGTTATAATCGATTGAAACAGATTTCAATCACTTTGTCGCTCGAGCGAAAGTACGCGTCGCTCGAGCGCAGAACCTGAGAGTCCCCCTTGTTTGAAGGCTTCTTCATCCCCCATTTTTCCAGGTGTCCTCGCTCAAGCGATGTGATTTTCGCTTGAGTCACCTTAGATAGCGGTTGATAACAACCGCTTTTAAAAATATATATTAGATAGCGGTTAGGCTAGAACCGCTTTCTAATGTAGTAGTTTAGATAACGGTTGGCCAAATAACCGCTATCTTAAGTCATATACTGAAAGTGATACTAGCAAAGATCTCATTGATTTGATGAAGTCAAAGATAAAGTCAAAAGTCAACTCTGCAGTGAGTCAACAAGTCACCTAGATAATTGAGTTGAAGATTTAGTGTGTCTTAACGAAAGTTTAGGTAAAACCATTTTACCTTTTCTCACGCATAAAGTTTCTTCATCATTTTGCAAAATGCCTCAAAAATAGTTTTAAACAAATAAAAAACAAAAGCATTTTGACAAAGAACTTTCTTAATAATGTTTTTAACTCGATATAGTTTTAAAAGAAACGATTAAAATCACTTAGAATGTTTAAAGAAGTGTTTTTACAGTATTTTAATCGATACAAACTTCTTTTAATCGATTAAAACCACTTTGGAAGTCAGGATGATCGATCAGAATGAAATTATGACCGATCAGAGTTGGTTATGATCGATCAGAATTGAATTATGACCGATCAGACCTATTTCAATCGATTAAAACGAATTTCAATCGATTAAAATGACTTGAAAATTTTTGTACAGAGTTTCAATCGATTAAAACGCATTTCAATCGATTAAAATAACTTGGAAAATCTTTGTACAGAGTTTCAATCGATTAAAACGCGTTTCAACCGATTAAAACAACTTAGAAAAATTCTGTGCAGGTTTTTAATCGATTAAAACTTCTTTGTATCAGTTAAAATAACTTGAAAAGTTTTATAAGAAAGTTTTAAAGCAAATCAATCGATTAAAACGCGAATCAATCGATTGAATCACTCAGAAAATGTTTGTAAAATGTTTTAACTGATATAAGCATGGTTGTATCAACTAAAAACATTCTGTTAAAGAAACAAGAACGCATTAATGGGTTGAAAGGACTTTTAACAGATTATAACGGCTATTTCAACAGATTAAAACAAACTTTCAACAGATTAATTAATGCAGCAGATTTGAAAATTCTCTTTAAAAACAGTTTTGCTTGTCTAATGGTAATCTTGTCCAATGGTAATCTTGAAAATGTCAATCGGGGATTGCTAAGAAGCTGAGGAGAGCTCCAGTGGCTTTTTCTCAATCTAATAAAAGTGCCATCAAATTTGACGCCCCAAAATACGAGAGCAACCTCCAAATTAAGAAATGGGTCCAGAGCCTTCAAGATCAAAGGCAGAAAGAAAGCTCGGATATTGAGGAAGGTCGATTGTAACGGAAAAATGGGAGTCATCCACGGAGGAGGCTTCGTATCCAGGAGAGATGCTTCGAAGGTCCAACAGTGGTTGACAGTGTGAAGAAGAGAATGTCACAAAATGAAGGTAGTTCTGACCAATGCATTGGTGGATATAACGAGAATCCCCCATTTTTCCAGGTGTCCTCGCTCAAGCGATGTGATTTTCGCTTGAGTCACCTTAGATAGCGGTTGATAACAACCGCTTTTAAAAATATATATTAGATAGCGGTTAGGCTTTAACCGCTTTCTAATGTAGTAGTTTAGATAGCGGTTGGCCAAATAACCGCTATCTAAAGTCATATATGTCAAAGTGATCAATTATAATTGGATAATAATCGATCATACTTTTTGCTCAAGCGAGAGTTTCTTCGCTTGAGCGAGAATTTATCTTAGATTACCCCTTCGTTACAGATTTCCTCGCTCAAGCGAAGGTTTTCTTCGCTTGAGCGAGAGTTCAGTACGCGAAATAATATTATTTTAATACGTGAACAGTAAACAGTTGCGCAAAATAATATTATTTTATTACGTGAACAGTAAATAGTGCTAATTGTGTAAATAAAGTTAGAAAAATGCTATTTTGGTAAATATTTTTAAAAACCATATTATTTATGAAAAAAAAGTCAGAATAGTCAAATCAAAGTTAATTAATGTTTTTGACTTTTTGCCCCATCATATATGGCAAGATCCCGTTACCAACGTCATTTTTGGCTTCAGTGGATAGTTGATAAATACTTAACAGAGCTTAGTCATAGTCAGAAACGCTGTTATTACATCCAAACGACACGAAGCATCTTCCGTTCAAACGCGTTCCTCCGGAACAGAGCGCCAACTTCGTCTTCACATTCCAGTTAGGGTTAGGGTTTTGAGCGTCGACGCAATGTCGAATGATAATCCCTCATCCCTTTCTTCTGGTTACAGTTCAATCCCTTCCCTCTCACGCGCCACCGCTCACTCCGGCATTTCTACGCGCCGTCCATGGGAGGAGTTTCTCGCGCTGCGCTCGTTCACGCTCCCCTACTCCCTCGGCGAAGCCACGCTCCGCATCAAGCGCAACCTCGACCACTTCCGCGTGAACTACGCCATGATCGCGCTGATCGTCTTGTTCCTTAGCCTCATCAGTCACCCGATTTCCCTCATCGTGTTTATCGCCGTATTCACCGCGTGGTTCTTCCTCTACTTCTTCCGTGATCACCCTGTCGTCGTGCTCCATCGCGCGCTCGACGACCGCTTCGTCCTCGCCGCGCTTGCCGCCGTCACCGTGGCGGCGCTTGTCCTCACCGGCGTCTGGCTGAACGTGGTTTTAGCGCTTCTCGTTGCGGCAGTGGCGGTGGTGCTGCATGCGGCGTTTCGGAGCACTGAGGATTTGTACGTGGATGAACTGGAAGCTTCTGATGGAGGTTTGGTTTCGGTTGTTGGCGGCAGCCCTACGAAACGATCAGGGTACAGTAGAATCTAGTTAGTTATGGTATATACAATAATTCGATTTCGTTTAATCGTTTTTGTATTACTTGCATTGCATATATCCGAAGAAAATAGTGGCTCCAGTTTTAGGTTTTGGTCACGTGGAGATGTGAATTTTGTCCATACGATAGTTTTACTTATCACGTTGTTAGCATGGAATGGGTTACTTGTCGGCCCTTTCTTTTTTTATATTCTCAGAACTCGTGTAAATTCTTCGATAGGTACTCATAGGTTGAAGCATTCGCATTCAATTTCTCTATTTTTAGTTCCAATTCGATGTATGGTCTGGTTTGATATGCTTTTTCTTTTGTAATAGGTTCACCAATAGTGGATAATAATTGGATTTTTTTTTTTTTTCAAGTGTAAGTGTAGATAGATTTTGGTTGCTTGGAAGAGTGGACCATTTTGGTCATTCATTTGTTGTTTATACGTGTAATAAATATATGTTTTTCAATATGCAATCCCTTTTCCTTTTTGTGAGTAGATCATATGATCAAATTAAGAACATATGTTCCTTAATGACAGGCCTCGTGTGTAAGTAGTGCTTTTTAGAGTGGCTTGTTTGTTGTTGTTTTGAGATTTGATTTTGTTGAATTAGACCTTCTTTTGTTAAGCTATGAAGAAGACGTGCTACAGAGCCTGTTACGGTCTCCTGTGTGAATCATGTATCGAGACTTGCTAAGTTGCTAGAGCCCAACATTTGAGAGAATTGAAAAGAGAACCCAGATTGCCAATTTATTCTCTAGTTATACCATATGTCAAAGTAAACTACCTATGTTTTGCTGACACCTAATTTAATTAATGTCAGTTGCCTCTGTTTGGGTTAGTTAGTTTGACAGATGGGGAGAAGTTGAGATCTAATCTGACAAACATGTATGTAAGAACAGACTGTAAAGCATACGCAGTATCAGAGTCAGTGTTGAAACTCTTCTCCCATTCATTCTTGAGTACTCATTGTTTTCTTTTCTCAGATTTTGAATATGGGTTTCTTGATTTTTCACATCATTGGAGGCATTTGGATCTGTAGAATCTTAGGGTCTTTGGATAAATTGGATATGTAAATTTATCTTGTTTTCATTTCATGTTTTACTAATATTAATTGTGCACTTCGTTTCAAAATATGACCATAGGAAATGGTGCAAACAACATTTTATTGCTTCTACTATTTCTTGTGCAATTATTTAAAAACAAGAAAAATGTAAAAATGAGGTAGCATTTTTGTATTGACGAGTGAAAACAGGAAATGTAAAAGAACATTTTTGCCCCCAAACTAACGCGGGCTCTAAAAATCCCAGATATTTCTTGACTATTCAGATGTAAAATTTATGTCGTATCTCCATGTTTCATGCAATATTATGGATATCCTACCGGTCCTCCAGATTAGTGTTCTGTTTCAAAAATTTGATTATGTCACGTGAAAATTATTCCTTAACAGATTTCTTAAAAATGAACCATGTTAAAGACAGTTATAAAATGAATTAGGGTAAATTATATTCATACTCAAACTTTCTTTTCTATTTCCTTTCCACTCCTTTTTTTTCTTGCTTTCTGTTTTCATCGCTCACTTTTCATATTTTTCAATGTTTCTTTTTCGGCCCTACTTTTCCATCCCAAAATTGGGTTGGGCATTTATCTGTCATCATCTAATAGCATAAGCCATTGGAGAGTTTATTTGATATTGTACCAAGTAACTAAGTTCGACAGTTTGTGTGAAAGTGCATGTCAGAAGTGTAATAAACATGAATGGTTTTTATGTCTAATGCATCTATTCATGTAAGTGGCTTGCGCCTGCTTATTCTATGTCTTGTGCTGAAATTCTACTTAATTATGAAAAATGGGATTGCAAAGATTAATTATTGAGCACTTGAACATGAAGGCACAAATATAATGGTGATAACGAACTCTTTCAATAATTATGCTAATAGGTGAAACCTTTGCATATCAGTCTGGAAATTGTTTGACTCTACGGGTCTTGCAGGGATTTATTTATTTATTCATATCTGTAACACCCAGCTCTTATCAAAATCTTTCATTCTATGCTTGCTGATTTACTTTTGGCGGGTAATCAGGGGCATGTACCTCAGTGCTGGTTAGTGCAGCCATCTTGCGTCATTTTATAAATTTTATTTGGCCAAGAAGTGATGTCGTACACGTACCGGGAGCACAGATTGGATAGGAGTATGTATATGTAGTGGCCCTACTGGGTATGTACTTGGTATGTGCAAGACATGAGTTGAGGGGAATACATGTGCTTCAGAGTATAAGTATATATATATATATATATATCCACTACGTCTATCATTTGACTTTAGGAATAACTGTGCTTCAGAGTATGATTGTCGATACGACTATGTGCATGACTTAAATTTTGATTTACATATTTTCTAAAATTTCTATTTATCACACTCAGTTTCCAAATTTTCGTCTACTGTATTTGTTCCTGGTATCATATTTGTATCTGTACAGCATAGGTGATAAGAAAGGAATGGTGCCGTTGATGACGTTGAAATCTAAATTATCAGATCTTGTTAAATAAGAGTTTCCTGTTGTATATATAGATATAGTTGTGTATAGGTGGAAATAAATAATTTTGAATATAATTGATTACTACACATAAGAACTTATCATTATGGACTTTAGGACAAAAGAAAGTTGTTTTTGTTCAGCTGGCATCATAACCCAACATGTTTGGTTCCAGCATGTAAACTTGACCCTGTTTTTTCTTTTTCTCAATGTCGTTTTAACGGTAAGGCAAATGTAAAGTATTCATTATCAAGATAATTAAGTATCAAGAATTCACATATAATTTACTCCAGGCCTTAACTCAACATCTCTAAAAAAAAAAACTCTGTAAAGAGTCGTGTAAAAGCAATCACAGGTGTAATTCTTTTTTCTTTTTTTAGTTTTTTATGATTGTTTCTCATTTACACGTTTATTCTTTTCATTACCAATGATTTTATCGTTAAAATAAATGTTTATACCAATATCTATAATTAATTGCAAAATCATTAACAATTATTTTAGCTATATATATTATATTATATAAACTTTAATAATATTTTTACTATAATTTTACTTTTTTTTTCTTCTCATCTTCATATTTTTTTGAGTTTTACTGTTGAGAATAGTTAATAAAATTGTCAAAATAAACAATATGAAATTTTTACAAAAGCCATGTAAAGCTAATTATTTTCACGTTCTATCATCATTTTCTCTCATTTACTTTTGTACCACTATTATATTACTTTTTTATTTATTTCATTTTATAGATTTTTATACTTACATAATTTTAGTAATATAAAATATCAAATAGAAAAATATGAATCTAGTTTTAAGAAGTTAAAGAAAAACAAGAATTGACAATTTAGTTTGTTTCTGAGTCCAAATGATAAAAATATTATAGAACAATTATCTATAGATAATTTTGAAAAATACGATAGTCCTAATTACAATCATGAGTATCCAAAAAGAAATTGTTTATTAGAAGTAAATGTTAAACATGGTAACACACGTCAAGTGAAGCTTTGAAAATATTTATGATTCACTGCAGTGGACAAATATTGACGAAAAGTTTAGACATCTAATGATAGAAAATGATACAATTAGATAAGATAATTTAAAATTTCCAAAACATTCTTATTCATCCTTTTATCAATATTTGTGTATATCAATAATTGAAACACTGGATTTGGATGTTTAAGAAAAAGTTACAAATAGAAGATTTGTCTATATGAAAAGTTATATCAATAGAAATTTTTTAATCTTTATGTATAAGATCTATAAACGGGTTAACCTTATGAATAAAAAGATTTTCTTTAACCTTAAGTACTTTAAAATTTTTGCCTTTGGCTATAAAATTTCTAGACACGGCACAGCTTTTCCCCTTAACAGGATTATATAGTGTGATTTTCTGTTCTTGATTTGCCTGTAGATCATGAACCAAACGAAAATAATAATAAAAGGAAATCTAATTTGAAATGTCAAATATCCAAGAAACCATCTATGTGAAAACAAAAAGTCATACTCTCGAGAAAATCGGAAACCAATGATGACTATCATGACCAACTGAACATCATGCTCTGCTACTCCATATTTAACATTCTGCAAGGAGAGGAGATTCCTCATAATTATTCGGCCTATTATCCTGCTACATAACAATGTGGCTATTGGCAACTCATGATCAAGGGTGTGGGTGTAGGACCTTCCGACCATAGGTTAGGATCATGACAAAATCTTTCCCTGAGGATCCAATGGTTGCGGGAATTCTGTGTCCTGTAGATGCCGTATCAAGCCACAATTCAACCAAATTCTGTACCTGTAGTGAAGGAAGCACAGGATGTCCCATGCATTTAATCTCAACCTGCAACAAAAGTAACCTGAGATTATAAGCTACAAGAGCACGTCTTAGAAGTTAAGAATAATGCAACATGTCATGCGTTAAAAAGCCAAGCAGAAAACATCAACGATAATAAAATTGCAAATACTATAGCACCAGAAGGTTCTATGAAAATTAATCCAAGTGAAGAATCAGGATACTAGAGTCCTTGAAGCCCATTACATGAATGTATTTTATATATCCAACAAAGATATTACCTCATCCTCACTTTTCAGGTCTAGTTTCTTCATTAACAATTTTTGGATAAACGAGACTGGTATGCTTCCATCCCTGTAGCAAAATGAATCGACGGCATGAAAAATCAGAGCTCGGTTAGATCTATATTTGAAAAGCATTACGGGCAGCAGATATTAAGTACAATCAGTTTCTAAGCATTCTTCCGAATTGATAAATAGAAACTTGTGAAGAGAAAAAGATACATTATACACTAGTAGTACTACATTTACTGATAGGAGGGGAGGGAGGGGAGTATCCCCACATGACAATAGAATTGTTCAAAGAATTCTTTAAAATTTACGTGGCCAATCATTTCACGCATTCATGGCCTCTTTCTCACAGCTTTTTATTGAAGCTTTTCGTTTGGCTATTTCCTTTTACCAGTCTCATGCTAAAATAGCTAGCCAACGTATTACCTTGATATATGATAAATCATTGACTACTGAGTTATAATCAACCAAAGGGCAAACCAATTACTTCCTTTTGTGTGTTTCAATAAGTTGCATGAAAGTTTACTACAGCCTGTTTGTACGAAATTCTACATAAGCTCCTTCTAGGAGAGAAAAATATGAGGGAAAACTGAAATTAGCTTCCTCATAGCTAAAATTAACTTATGCATGAGCTAACTTATATTCTCTTTCATATAACTTCTCTAAATTTTTATTTTTTACATGTGAATAAGCTAATTTTAGCTTCCGACACTAGTGCAAAAAAGGCTTTTTATGTCGGTTAAAATGAGCTTTTTACGTCGGTTAAAGATGCGACATAGATACAGGGGTCATAGAAAGTATGACTTTTTACGTCGGTTGTGATGAACCGTCATAGAAAGTATGACTTTTTATGTCGGTTGTAATGAACCGACATAGAAAGTAATGGAATTTTTATGAAAATTGTTACTGAGTCTAGAATTAGACCAACCACTACACTAATACGATTTTTATTTATTTATTCATATTATATTTTTATTATACTTTATAATATATTATTTTATTATCTCGTTAAGAGATTTGTGTCTAACAAGATTCGAACCCAAGTACCTTAGAGTTGGAGACTCGATACTCCAACCACTAAACTACTACGAATTTCCGATACATAACTTACAAATAAATTATATTTATATACAAAATATATAAATACAAATATATTTATATATTTTGATATATAAATATTTATATACTTATATGTTTAATTTTTTTTATTTAATATACACTTTCTATGTCGGTTAAATTTCAACCGACATAGAAAGTACTTTTATGTCGGTTAAAAACTTAACCGACATAGAAAGTGAACTTTCTATGTCGGGTAAAACTTAACCGACATAGAAAGTGACCTTTCCACTTACTATGTCGGTTAAAATTTACCCGACATAGAAAGTTTATGATTTGTGTCTAACAAGATTCGAACCCAAGTACCTTAGAGTTGGAGACCGATACTCCAACCACTAAACTACTACGAATTTCGATACATAACTTACAAATAAATTATATTTATATACTTTGTGAACTTTCTATGTCGGTTAAAATTTAACCGACATAGAAAGTGAACTTTCTATGTCGGGTAAAACTTAACCGACATAGAAAGTTCACTTTCTATGTCGGGTAAATTTTAACCGACATAGAAAGTGACCTTTCCACTTACTATGTCGGTTAAAATTTACCCGACATAGAAAGTTTATGATTTAATTACAAAATTGTCACTGCGCTACATACTATGACGGGTGGACTACGACCGTGATAAAAACTCGTCATAGAATGCTATTTTTCCACTAGTGCGAAGAGGTTACTTTCATTTATTTCTTTTTATTTTTCTCTCCTAAAAAGACCTACGGAGAAATTTGTCCAAACAAACCCTATGCATAGATGGGCTTAACATAAATATTAATGAATAGCAACTAAAGCAGAATGTTTTCATTTAAAAGCATATAATAAAATAGTATTAGTGTATGACAAGGAACTCACTTAATTCTTACATAACTTGAAGGAATCTGGGGTAAAGGTGCATCTCCTTCCCTGAAACATTAGTCTGAACTTAGTAGATATAGAAATATTCAAAATATGATTAATGAAATTCATATAAGAATTACTGGATGCCAAAATGGAATTTGCTTTTCAAGTTCCAAAGCTATGTTTTCTCACTGGTTTTCAGATGCTGCTAAGGAGAACCAAATTGAATCATTCCATAAGAGATTGCTGGCATTAGCATCCAGAACAGCCTGAGGTGATATTCTAGATTCTCCAAAAACAAGTTCCTTTTTTGTGCGAACTCTTCGCAATTTGTTGGGTTTTGCTGTATCTAGAGAGACATGATCAGTGCAAGTCTTTTCATCTTCAACTTTTGCCTTGCGTTTATTTTCCTTAATTTTGGTTTTCAGCACTTTAGTATCACTGTCAGTTACTTTCACGGGTTCTGGTTTAGTACTAGATGCCTGCACATTAGACTTGAAAGACTTACTCCTACTTGCAGCCTCTGCTAAGTAATTCAAAGTTTTCCAAAGATCCCATTTTGCTTCCTGGGTTTCAGCACCATTCTGCGGTCCTCTATTGCATATGGATTGGCTATTTTTACAAGGTGACAAACTCTAAACCAATAAAAAGAAACGTGTTAAGGCCAGGACCATCAGGGAAAACAAATGAACCAGATAAAACAAATAGACCAAAGTAAACGCAACCATATACAGTGAGCACACCGAGAAGAGCATGATCATCTTTCCTACCTGTCCTGCACTCTTAGCAGACTTGTTTGAGGTATCTGGTGAGCATGAACTATCTTGGCGATCTTCCAGTAATTCCTCTTCTTTTTTAATGAGCTTTTCAACAGAGAAACTAGAGCCCTGTGGGCCCAGGGCCTTCCTTGTAGGTTTAGTTCTTCTCCCTGTCATGGTTGACTGTGTAGATACCCTTGGTGTGCTGACAACCAAAGATGAAAGTGATCTCTCCTTTCTTCTAGCTGGTAATAGTACTGAGGGAACAGCTACAGGTGCCTTCTGCTTTCTTTTTTTGAAAGGGAAAATTTTGTTCCTTAAATCTTGCAAACTGTTATCTGGCCTGGGAATAGGAAACAAGACGTGCAACAAATTAAAAAAGAAAAGCTATATCATGAAAAAAAAAAAAAAAACACACACACACACACAAACTTGTTGTGTGCTTCAATGCCAAAGCCATACATATAAAGAATAGTGATGAAGTCAATTAATTTGAAGAACAATCCCATCCGTTATTGAGCAGGTTTTGTAGGATTGAATTTGTCACCTATCCATTTCTAAAAAATAGATTATTCAAAGTTGCAGCATAAAATGAAATAAAATCTTCTAAAGACAAAGCAAAACTAATAAATTGAACTTAAATATACTCAGCAAAAGAATTTTCTAAACCTGTTTAATGGGGTCAATTATGTCAGATATTCCATCCATTAATTGGATCACAACTATTTTTATGCTATTCCTTATTCTGATTCCAGCTAATATTTCAGACGAAAATTATTAAAATCAACCTGATAGATGTAAAGTACAATTGTTAAATTTTGCTCTTGCTTTAAGTTTTGGATTTTAAATACTTCAATATTTTCTATGCCAAACGTACACATGAAAGGAAACTTCAGAAAATAAACTGCAAAGATACACACACTATAAAATAGGTGGCTATATTATCTATGGATGTCAAGCTGAGTGCATTTTATTTCCTTGGAGGTCAAAGTTCACATGCATGTAAATTACAAAGAATTAATATGAAGCCACAATTGGACTTTTCAGGAGATAGTTTTCAAAAATTTAAGAAATCAATGACTTTATTTGATGGAATCATCATGACATCAACAGTTCTCTGTCTTGCATGATGTTGCAGCACAATACCAACCTAGAGCAAGATAGGGTTGCACATGATTGATCTAATACACCTGTTTGTTTCCTTTTTCTTTCCATAATGGGGTTTCAATAAATGTTAGAGCAACTCAGCAGTATTAGGCAGCTTTACAGCGTAAATCTAGACACATCAGAAATAAATTCGACTCTTAAATGAAATGGTCTATCTTGTATCTCTATTTTAGTAGCCATTAAACAATTGACATGGAACAACAGACCAGGTTAACTCACAACCATATGAAATAGGAGAGGGGTTTTTGTCGTTAGCCCCCCTTCTTTTTGAATAAAAGGTACAGAAAAAGAGGGATTAGTCACCAATTTTTCTGAGGGAACTGACCTCATTTTCTCCAGCGGAACAATGCCCAAATCAATGTTGCATACTGGACAACTTTCCAATTCTTCATCTGTAATTTTATCATAAATGCACTTCCTGCAAACTGCATAAAGTTCTATATGATCAATTTGTCTGGTCATCCACGAATCATTTACAATAAATACAAATTTCGCATCACAATGTCCATAAGAAACTAGAAAAACCATTTAATCAATTACATAAGAAATGAAGACAAGTAAATAACGAAAGACTATTGTCGAATGGTTTATAGACCTAGATATGATTTACCTAAATATATTTATACTTCGGTATTCAAATAAAAGAAAGCTTATTAGCTAAAATACAACACCAGAAAAGTACAGATCCCTATCACGGAAAAGAAAAAACTAGCTACTGATACAGAAGGCCAAATAGAACCATAGAAATTCCTAGTGTGTAACAATCACGTTCTCTATGGTACGTGACATGGATACACACAGGAGTAAAAATAGAATTTTCAAAAGTATTTAATTACAAGACACCCGTATCTGTATAATTAAACAAATACCAAATAAGCCCCATTTGAACAACGCAGAAACCGGGACAAACCCCATGAATGGAAAACACGAAAGAATCAAAATTTGAGAACATTCACATGATATTGAATAAAAGGGCAAAAGGGAACTAATATTAGGAGGATATAGTTAGAAGAGATTAAGAAGGAAGCGATTAATTACACGTATGAAGGCAAAGAGAAATAGCAGTGGCCTCTTTGAGGAACTTGTTGCAAAGCGGGCAAGTCATGCATGCTGCAATCGTATCCTTCTTCACTCTCACCATCCTCTTCATCGTCATGGATCAACCTCACACCCACGTATCTACATATATGTGTATCCTATGCTATCCACCACAGTGCATGCAAATTTACGTCCACTTCGCTATAATCACCTGCATTAACACCACCATCACAAAGAACCAGACATATAACACTCCCAAATCAAGAATGAAAGGCCAAATAATAACGTATTATGCGCAGAGAGAGAAGGAGCGAAAGGGACCTAGGTAGTGTGGATCGGTGAAGAGGGTTATAAAAAGAAGATGGGTCGGTAAGATTGGACGTGGATTTAGGTGGAGCTTGTTGGATTCGAACAGCGTTGGTGTTGTTGAGGTTGATCTCAATCGAAGGAGGAAAAGCCTTTAACCAATGCTCCAAACTGGTTTTCTCTCTTTTGTCTTTTTATTCTTCTTTTTTCTTTTCTCAAAATCAAACCTTTGCATTTATTTTGTTCGATTTCTTGGAACAGATGGAGAGTGATGTTGGAGGCAGAGATAACGTGCACCGTGGAGCTCTCCTACTTTAAGATGCGCACTCTAAATTAGTAGATTATTACTTGCGATAGCTGGGTTGGGTGGGAGAGGTTTCTTTCATACACTCGCGTGTACAGGAAGGTTAGTGTACTTGGGGCTCAACCGAGTTATATATATATATATATATATATATATATATATATATATATATATATATATATATATATATAAAATTAGAGCGTTTTTTTAATTATAATTTATTTTTTTAATACTACTTTAAAAATTCACATTTATAATATTTATATATGTTTATTTTAACCTTTCAAAATAATCATAAAATAAAATATTTAAAATCTAATTAAAATCATTTTAAATATTTTCTATACAAAATTTACTTTTATAAATATTGTTTATTATGAACAAAATGTAAATTAATTTAAATATTTTAATTTCTAAAATTTACCACATTACTTTACATATATAAAAAATTTAAAATTTATTATCACACAAGGATCCAATTTTCTGTTTCGTTTCATGATTCTTAATTTAAAATATAAATTATTTATATTTGAAAATATAAAACAAAAGAATATTTTTTATTGTCAAAAACAAAATAAAAACAATGTTAATTTTTTATAGATAAATAACTATTTTAAACATTGAATATATAAATGGATGATAATTTAGCTTTGCAAAAAACAAAATTATATTTTTTAATGTAAAAAATGTGTCGATTAGATTTAGTTAGTTATAAAATTTGTTTTACAAATTTTATAATTTGATGACAAATTTATTATGAATACTTAAATATAGTTCTTAAAAAGCTCTCATAAAACTTAATAAGAAGATTATATTATTGGTTTTTTAATCAATTAAAATTAAATAAGAGTTTTTATTGTTTTAAAAACTGAGTTATTACACACAATATATATATATATATATATATATATATATATATATATATATATATATATATATATATATATATATATATATATATATAAAAGAATAATTTTCGCAGTCAATTTTACTTGACTTGGCTGGTTCTCACCGACTGTCACACACAGGTAGTGACACAGACTTGTCGGAAGGATAAACATGGACAAAGCTACGCTCCATCTTCTTTCTTTTCTGTCTCGTAAACACTACAAGGGCTAACTGTGAGTGAAACCCTACATGCGTATTCCTTGGGGTGGAATTATCCTACGCTCTCCAAGATCTGAATCTATGCATTGTAATGTAATGCACTACTTGTGCTGAACGATCCAGAAAAATCACCAATGAGCAAAATCCGTCGCTGCCAGAGGATTCTCTTCCTCTCTCTACTCTCTCTCTCCGTCGTGGCTCCTCTCGTTTTCGTCTCTCACCGCCTCAACCTTCTCACTCCTCTCGGTAAATTCAATCCCCTCTTTCTTTCTCTCTCATCACGGGCTTGTTTGCACGCTGTAATTTGCAATGTCGCTTTGCATTTGCCATTGCTTATGACTCCTTCGATTCATTCTGTGAGTTCATGTGACTGCCATTTCAGGGAGAAGAGAGTTTCTCGAAGATTTATATCGCGCTGTAAGATTTCTGATTCCTGGTTTGTTTGGTTGAACTGTGTTTCTCGTTCTCATTGCTTTTGATTTCTACGAAAGAGTTTGAGTAGGAGGAAATGTAGTTTAGCTTTTTTTTAGTATTGGATTTTAATTTATAGTGTCGGTGAATGGACTAGTCAACTTCGCAGTTTCTCGGAATATGGTAGCTGATGATCGAAATACTTAGGATTTGTTTGTTTTTCTGGAGGAAATTTTATTCTACTTACAAAGGATTAGTTGAACTATACCAGCTTCTTATGCTCCGTTTTGGAGCTTGAAATTATTTTTAGGATAAAACTTAAGTACAGTTTGATAAGTGTTTTTGGTGTATTTCTAAAATTAGAAATAGAGTTTTGCACCTGTTATGTCTGTAATAAAGGTTTTCATTATCGAGATAAAAATTCAATTTTTATTTGAGCACTATACCAAAATCACCTTTGGAATTGTATTTAAATTGTCCTTATTTTATTAATTATGTTTGTTTATTATTTTTTTTCTTTTTTTTTTGCAGACATACAGGACAGATACTTTGAAGTTAAATGCCGTAGAACAGGTAGTAAGAGATTTGATAATGAGTTTTCCTCATTGCATTAGATGCTTGTTTGCTTTTCCGAATGAATTGACAGATAATATTTTGAAATTAGAATCTGATTTTCGGCCTGTTTGAGTATCAGGAAGATGCTGAAGAATTTGCAGAACCAAATCAAGTTGTTTACACGGAAAAAGATTTAGTTTCTACAATTGGTTATGATTCAGAAAACAATAATGATTCTAAGGAATCTAGAAAGGCAGGATACAGAGGCACCACTTTGGAAATAAATGGTTGGTATATGTAGTTTTATGTTTTATTATATAATTTTGGGTTTACATATGGTCACCTAAGTAATCAACTATGTGGATGTCTGAAGTTTTCCCTATTGTCGAATTCAGGATTCAATCAACATGAAAGACAACACCAGGGAGCTCAGCAGAATGAATTATCCTTCATGTCTCAAGGTAGGAATGTATATGATTCACAGAGAATGTTAGCGAAGAATATTGAAGTTGCAACTAAGAAGGTTCAAGAGATTAAGGATCAACTTATTTTAGCCAAAGCATACTTGAAAATTGCACCACCAAGCAGCAACTTGCGCTTGAGAGATTTGGAGAGGTTAACGAGAGAGATGGAATTAGCAGTTGGGGAAGTCACCCAGGATTCAGATCTGTCAATGAGGTAAAATTTACTATATAAGTGTATGCTTGCATTTAGTTCAGAAAATATTTTGTTGAATACTTTAACTACTACAATCTAGAAATATCAAGTGAAAACTACTAATGTTTTGGTCCTTAAAAAAAGTGTGTATGTGATAGGGACGAAAATAAGGATAGGAAATGGAATCTATATTATAGAAGGAAATTTACTAATAAAAAGTAGTAAGGCAGGTAGTTGTGTTGGTGGAGGAGACTTTCCGAGCAAGCCTTTATATAGTTGTGTTAGGAGGTTGTGAGGGGATGTTTTTTGAGTTTTTGGGAGACCTAATCGGGAATTGCTCTGTGAGAAAGGAAACACCATCCTTTGTATGTGAAGACCTTTGTTTAGTTTATACTTTCTTTGGAAATAATATCACAAGGAATATTCAATGTACGTGGTGTTTGGTTTTGTTCTTTCCTTTCTAACAAAGAACGTAACATTTTGGTCTGGCCTGATGGATCCGAAGAGGAGGGGAATTATGGAAAATAGAGTGAGTTCTTTGGAAAGGTGAATGAGTGAACAAGGAAAAGTGATTGTGGAGATGAAGATGGATTTGGCTATTGTGAAAGATAGTTTGCAAGACATGAAGGAGATCAAAGAAATACTACGAGATCTGAAGAATAACAATAATTTATCCAAAGGAAGTGAAAACTTTGTTAACGATGAAGGAAAGAAGGAAGAAAGATTTGTTCACGATAGCATATCTAATGTGGAAGGAGATAAAAAGGGTGGAATTACCCACATTTGAGGGGAATGATCCACTAGGGTCGATATCCAAAGGGAGAAACTTTTTGAGGTTCAAAATGTCACTACAAGGAAAAAGTTATGTTTGGCTTTTTCATCAGCATAGAGGGGAACGCAAGTCATTGGTTCAAATTTTGGAGACAAAAGTCCAAGAATTCATCTTGGGAAGAATTGACAGTTATGTTACATAGGAGATTTGGAGGCAGGGACCAAAGTACATCATTTGAAAGATTAACAACGATAAGACAAAATGATAAGGTGGAAGATTATATCCAAGAATTTGACTTGTTGGCATTACAAATTCCGCAAATTTTTGAAGAACAACTATTATACCTCAGATTGATTTATTTCCAAACCTGATTCGTCCTTATCGAGATAGCTAGACGTTCCCAGTTATTAATCTGCATTTTTATAATCTGCTTTTGTTTTGTTTCATCTAATATTTTAAATATGAAAAATTCCCCCTTTTGTTTCTGTTCTAATTCGAAAAATTGACAAGCTTTGATAAGAATTCGTGGTCTTTGGAAGATGACCTAGGAAAACTTCCTAGTACTACATTTATCTATTTTAATTATTTGACCGAGTACGACATGGATCACTTAGCTTCTTTTGCAGTATCCATTCCAAACTTCTTGAGGATTTCCTTGCAGTATTTTGTTTGAGACACAAAAGTGTCATCTTTTAATTGCTTGATTTGAAGTCTAAGGAAGAAAATTAATTCCTCCATCATGGACATTTCAAATTCACCCTGCATAATGCTTGCAAATTCTTCACATAGACAGTTAGATCCAAAAATGATATCATCAACATATACTTGGATTAATAGAATATGTTCACCTACTCTCTTAATAAATAGAGTTGAATCAATTTTTCCTCTAGAAAAATCATTTGTTAATAGAAAGTGTTCAACCTTTCATATCATGATCTAGGAGACTTTTTTAATTTAAAAATGTGATCTAGGTATTTAAAATCTTCAAAACCCGGAGGTTGTTGTACATATACATCTTCTTTAATGAAACCATTTAAAAAAGCACTTTTCACATCCATTTGATACCGTTTGAATTTCATCATAGAAGCATAAGCAAGAAGTAGACGTATAGCCTCTAACCTGACAACAAGAGCATAAGTCTCATCAAAGTCTATACCTTCCTCTTGACATTACCCTTTTCAAATGCATATCCAATTTTTGCACAGTAGGGTTCTGAAAATCCTCAAGATGCAATTGGTCGTATTGTCTATGTGAATTGTCATTTAGCTAATAAGCTCGTGGATATTGAGGTTCCACAAGCGATACTTCTTGATACTATATTTGAAGTAGTTGTTCGAATTTCTTATGATATGCAAGTGAAACAAGTTCTAGCTAATGGTAAAAATGGAACTTTGAATGTGGGGGTTGTTCTTATTTTAGCTGGCCTAACCCTAAAACAGTAAAAGCATCAAGGGGATTTTTAGGGCTCACTAGTTACTATAGATAATGCATACATAACTTTGGGAAGATAGCAAGTCCTTTGATGCAATTGCTACAAAAAGGAAATTTTGTGTGGACCTAGGAGACCACTAAAGCTATGTAATGACTTAAGGAGGCTATCACTATAGTACCAGAGTTAACAATGCCAAATTTCCACCAACCTTTTTGCAGAGAATGTGATGCTTTGGGAAAAGAAATAGGTGCAATGCTATTTCAAATTAAAAAAACCTATAACTTTCTTCAGCAAGGCTTTGGCGGACTCCTCCTTAACAAAGTAGATCTATGAAAAAGAATTAATGGCTTTGGTGCTAGCCATTCAACACTAGAGACCCTATCTTCTTGGTCAGAAATTTATGTCTATACAAATCAAAAGAGTTTGAGGTATTTGTTGAAGCAAAAAATCACTAATTATAATCAACAAAATTGGTTGGCAAAATTTTTGGGATATGAATTTGAAAGCGTGTACAAGATGGGTACCTTTAATAAAGTGACAAATGCTTTATCACGCAAATTTGATGATTCAAACAAGGAGAATTCAGAATTGCACGTGTTAACAAGACCCTTATGGTAGGATTTTCATTTAATTGATGAAGTGAGATCGGATCCTATCATACAAAAAATTAGAGAGGAGTTACATGCAAATCCAGAGTCACACACTTATTATAAGCTAGAGAATGAATGATTGCACTACAAAGGGCACATGGTGTTATCTATGACATCAACATAGATTCCCAAATTGCTCTAAGAATGTCACATGACACTGATAGGAGGACATTGGGGAATTTTTCGCACCTACCAATGAATAAGCCAACCTTTATATTGGATTGGCATGAAGAAGACAGTAACAGAATTTGTGGCAGCTTCCCTCGTCTGGAAGCAGCATAAATATCAATCTTCCTCACCTTAGGCCTGCTCCAACCTTTGCCTGGTTGTGGAACCATATAGGAAGATATAAGTTTGGATTTTATAGTAAACCTTCCTAAATCTAGTGGTTATGATGCTATTTTGGTGGTAGGTGGATAGACTTATAAAGTATGACCATTTTATTCCTATCAAGCACCCTATTCTCCTAGAGTGATGGCAGATATATTTATTAAGGAAGTGGTAAAGTTGCATGGAATACCTTCTTCTATCATTAGTGACAAAGATCCTACCTTTTTTAGTCTTTTTTGGAAAGCATTCCTATCACCTAGAATTGGATGGCAAACGAAAGTCTTAAAAGAACTTTGGAAACATATCTATCTTGTTTTAGCTCCGAGCAGCCTAAAACTTGGACAACTTTTATTCCTTTGGCAAAATATTTTCGTATACACCAATTTTCAAGGGGCAACAAAAGACACACCTTTTGTAGTGGTATATGGGAGATTTCCACCTTCTTTGGTCAGGTTTGTACTGGGAGAAATGGCAGTGGAGGTTGTAGCTCAAGATTTAATGACCAGGGATGAAGCTCTCAAACAACTCAAGTTTAACTTGAATAGAGCTCAGGAACAGATGGTCATATTTACCAACCGTCATAGAAGACGTTCAATGATCAAAGTCGGGGATTGGGTGTACCTGAAAGTTCGCCCTCACAGACAGACTTCTATGCCAACATGTTTACATCCAAAACTGTTGGCAAGATACTACGGTCCCTTTGTGGTCCTTAAGCAACTGGTGGCTTTTGGACTACAAGTTCCTAAAAATTTTTGCATCCATCCAGTTTTTCATCTCTCAACTGAAGCTAGATGTAGGAACTCATCATGTTGAACAAGAGCTTCCAAAGGAGCTACACGTACGCATTTTGGTTTGTTGTCCAAGTCAGATTTTGGACAAAAGGACTATACAACACCAAGGAGTACCACTACAAGTGTTGGTGCAATGGCAGGAAGGGGGTCCCGAGGCAGCTACATGGGAAGACATTTCTATGATTAAGGATCAATTTCCAAAATTCAACCTTAAGGACAAGGTTGTTCCTGCAGTGTAGTGTAATGATAGGCACGAAAATAATGAGGAAATGGAATATATATTATAAAAAGAAAGTTACTTATAAAAGTATTTAGGAGGGTAGTTGTGTTGGTGGAGGAGACTTTCTGAGAAAGTCTTTATATAGTTGCGTTAGGGGGTTGTGAGGGGATGTTTTTTGAGTTTTTGGGAGAGCTAACAAGGAATTGCCATGTGAGAAAGGAAGCAACATCCTTTGAATGTGAAAACCTTTGTTTTGTTTATACTTTCTTTGGAAATAATATCATGAGGAATATTCAGTGTATGTGGTGTTTGGTTTTGTTCTTTCCTTTCTAATGAAGAACGTAACAATATGACAGTTCAATTTGTCCCACAACCACAAGTGTTAATATTTTGAACTTAATACAACAACAAACAAAGCCTTTTTTTCATTAGGTGACATCAGTTACATGGATCACGTTGTCACTGGTTCCATTAAAAATCAAATCATCAAATCTGTCCTGAGTTATCTTTTATCCTTGTTTCGAATAATGATGGGTTTTATGTTCTTTGTCAATAGCCTAACACACTCTTCCTTTACCGGGCTTAGGATTTGCTATGAGAAGGATTAGTTTTTCTCAAAAATTCAAATTAGAGTAAGTGAGAAACTAGTGAGTAGTGACCACTTATCTTGCACTACAAAATAATGTTATATAAAGAAATTCGTCCAGAAATTTGATGTAGTGTGAATTGTTAACAAAAAATGACAATATTTGTCAATCTGAAAACAAGTGAAGTTCACAGTGCTTTGCAGAAGATGAGACACATGGAGGCTTCACTATCTAAAGTCTATCGTGCTTTCCCGGATTGCTCTAATATAGCTGCTAAGATCAATACAATGAAGCGTCTGATTGAAGAGCAAATCCATTCTCAGCGACATCAAGCAACATATCTTGTAAATCTTGCGGCAAGGACTGCCCCTAAAGGCATTCACTGTCTTTCTATGCAGTTGACTGCAGAATACTTTGCCTCGAGGCAGCATGAGAGAAAGCTTCCAAACAAAAATAATATTAATGATCCACAACTTTATCATTATGCTGTCTTCTCTGACAATGTTCTGGCATGTGCAGCAGTTGTTAACTCAACTATCTCTACTGCCAAGGTAGATACCATTTTTTTTTTCATTTAATAAGACACTCTTTAATAGTTTTTGAGCTAATGTTTTCATTGTGACTCTCATTGTAACTGCTGAAAAAGAAAAACAGATACTAACTAATACTAATAAGTTTAGCTATCAAGTTATTTCAAAGTAGACTAGTTCCTAGCGGTTGCTTTGGTGGTTTATGACTTGATGTCCCTCAAATCTCCTCCATATTGCACGAAAGTGCTTGTTTCACATACGAGGGGGTGAATATAAGAACTTGTGATAAGAACCTGATCTATCATTATAATCCTTCCTAGAACCTTAGGAGTTAGTTACATGACATTTAATACTTAGTGTGATTTGAAATTGACCCTGACTACTTTAAAATTCAAATAGTTATTCTAGTTTCAGCTTTTAATGCTACTGGACTTACTGCAGAATCAAGAAGCCAAATCAGTAAATGCCTAAAATGGTTTATGATCTTTCTCAATGTAGTATGTTACGAAAATAAAATTCTTCCTTCGATTTCTTTCCACATTAACTCTCCATTCATTATTTAACTGTGTTGAAATAGTTTTAAAAAGAAAATTATTGGTAGTCAGGCCCTGATAAACATTCATTTCCAGTTAGGTGGAAGCTTGTTTTACCTCATTAGATTTCTCAGCATCTGTATTGAAGTGTCTAACTTGAACTACATACTAGATCAGAGACAGAGAAGAAAACCTTATAAGCTCCCCAATAAGATTTTTTTGCTAGAAGAATGTGGGCTGGCACTCTGCATTAAATCCTGTCTTTTATCCTGTAAAATTGTGGATTCATTATAATTTAGTTGCAGCATGCATAGTTTATCGTGGGAATCGCAGAAAGTTTTTGTTAAAGTATACTAACTTTACATATCTTTAGACTAATTTCTAAAATATTTAGATAATGTTGTGAAATCAATTAATCATCGAATTAAGAAAGCAATCTTAGGAGTTGTTTCTTGATTTTGTAATATTTCCCAATTTGTTTCTTTATTTACTTTAGTTTGTTAATAGGCTGGTTCTGTGCTAGTAGTGACCATTTTATTAGTATAAATAGGAGTGCGAGATTAAGGTACTCTAACAAATTATATGTTATCAAGAATATAGTTAGGGATTGTCATTTGCCGTATTTTCTCTTCTCATTATTCCATGAACATATAATTCTTAACAGTTCTCATTATTGACCTCAAGTCTCGAATGCTAACCATTAAGTCTGTATATATTGTGGCAAGAAAGCTTGACTATGAACTCCAAATTGCAGGAACAGGAGAAACTTGTTTTCCATGTATTGACCAAATCACTCAACTTACCAGCAATCTCAATGTGGTTCTTGATAAATCCGCCTGGCAAAGCTACAGTCCACATACAGAGCATAGACAAATTTGAATTGTTCTCCAAGCACAATTCCTTCCAGGAAAATAATTCCAGCGACCCAAGATACACTTCTGAATCGAACTACCTGCGTTTCTACCTTCCAGACATTTTTCCTGCTCTAGATAAGATTGTTCTATTTGACCATGATGTGGTGGTGCAACACGATCTCAGTGCACTATGGAATATTGATATGAAGGGAAACGTAATTGGAGCAGTTGGAACTTGTCAGGAAGGAAAAATCCCATTTTATAGGATTGATATGTTCATAAACTTCTCAGATCCATTAATTGGAAAGAGGTTCGATGTCGATGCTTGCACATGGGCATTTGGGATGAACTTGTTCGATTTGCAACAGTGGAGGAGACACAATTTAACTGCTGTCTATCACCATTATTTGCAATTGGTATGGTTAAAAAATGTCTTTATATAATTTTGTGTGCTTCTATATTTTACAGCCCAACGAACTTTCTCCAATGTAAATTTCTTTAACTCTTCAGTTACGCTCTTGGCACTAATGAGGTAATGGCAATTTGAAGAATAATGGTTGGCATCCTAGTTGTTGAACATGAAATGCATCGATTGTTGTTTGCAATTTTCTCTTTTTGAATTTTAGCATCCTTAACTATGTAGTTTATGAATTTTGATTATGAATTACCTGAAACGGTGACTATTATCAGGCAAAGATTTGGTATCACCATGGCATTTTTAGATTTGTTTTTAAATTGGGGTTTTCTTCATGTATCTAATTTTGGTTGTTGAATCATATTAGCGAAGGTGTCTTATCATTCAAATTACTGTCTTAGAGCAAAAATGTTAATTTGTTTGAGCAACTTTACTTTTTTTTCCCCCGATCTTTTTCTTAAAATAAAATTATACTGGAATAATTGTCTAATGTATTTCTCTGGGATAATGTTTGCAGGGTTTGTGGAATATTGGAAGTCTACCTTTAGGCTGGCTAACTTTCTATAACAAGACAAAGTTGTTGGATAGACAATGGCATATTCTTGGCCTTGGTTATAGTTCAGATGTCGATCGAAATGAGATTGAGCGGGCTGCTGTTATACACTATGATGGGCTTAGGAAGCCGTGGTTGGATATTGCCATGGGCAGATATAAGAGTTTTTGGACCAAACATTTGAATTTTGACAACCATTTTTTGCAACAATGCAATCTCCAGGCATAGTTCTAAATTCAAAGTTCCCTCTACCTGATTTGAGGTGGCTTCTGTTGTTGACATACTAGATGATTCATTCCCGGCTAGCTTCACGTTATTATTTGTGCAATTCTTCTTTAAAGTTCTCCACATCTCTGACCACACCAAATTTCCATGCACTTATTTCTAGAAACTTAGCAAATTTAGTCAAGATGAAGAGTAAATAGCTGCTTGCAGATGCAATGGGTTGTTCTGTATATAAATCGTTGGTGTCTCTTAATTTATGCCAACATCCTTTGCTATCCGGTGTGTATTTGGTTCGGTGTCACAAGTCCTGGATTTGATTCATGTTGAAACCGCTTATACTTATTGATCTGTTCCATGCGTCGACTTTGACCTGATTTATTTAGTTAGAAGAACAAAATTGCAAATTAGGGCTGACGGCTGTGTTTTGAATTGTTCCGTAAGGATAATTTGATATGCACTGTCATTGTAAAATGAACTGATTTTTGAATGAGTTTTGAAGTTATAATTATGAAACTCAGCAATTTTTTTTTATATGATTACATGTGTTTGGATGATAATTCAATATATTTTACATCAACTGTTATGTCCTGTTTCTCTTTCATTAAAATAAAGTGTTGGAGATGAGAATTTTATATGATTTCTCTTTCATTAATTAACAAGATTTTGACAAAAAAAAAAAGTGTTGGAGAAGAGAATTTAGATTTTTCTCGGTATTTATGAAAGACATCCGAGTGACATTATTGTTGCTCGAGTTTCTTATTTGTTAATATAGAACTGCCCCTCACTGCCCGAAATTTTTTAGGTATTATCTTTGGTTATAATTAAGTCTTTGGAGAGAGAGAGAGAGAGGAAAGAAGCTCACACTGCTTGTATCAATTCGAAAGATGTGAAATAATGGTTTTTTTTTTTCTTGTCTCACAAGAACTTGAAAATAAAATTTATTATTATTGTGGGAAATTAAATTTGTTCCAACCTCCAAACAGCAACCAAGATAAAATGAAGAGAATATTGGTCATCAAAGCGATTATTTGACACATGGCAGGAAAGTATTGGATTACTGCAGATAAGGATATCTAGCAAGGGGCCACGAATCTATCCATGTTTTGTGGTGCATAGTACTGTCTTCGGATCGATGATATTAATTTTAACTTCTTAAGTTTAGGAATTAAGCTGGTATCGTGCTCTTGACAGCCTGGTCTTACTCTTTATCGTTTCAGTTTCAACTCTACAATGGCAACCATCTCCGCTGCTACTACATACCCATCGATCACCCGCGCATGTCTTGTGGGAAAGCGGCCTCTTGGGGTCTCATCTCCCGTTCTTGGTTAGTTTTTTCTCTTCCTAATTTGCGATTGTAAATAATAAGTTTATGCTCTTTCTATGTCTGATTTCTTCAACATGCCATGCCATGCAACAAGACAGAAAATAAATAAAGGAGGATCGAGTTTGGTTATCTGGACGAGAATTTTAATATATATGTTTTAATCGATTCTTTGGTTTTGAATAATGTTGTTTGATGAACCAACCTTTTTCTTAAGCATTCAACTTTCATATAGGATTGCCAACAATGGGTAAGGTGGGAAGAGTGAGGTGCACCATGGAGGAAAAGCCTTCTGTGAAGGAAAGCAGCTCAAACCTGGGGATGGGGGCATCTTTGATAGCAGCTGCCTGTGCTGCAGCCATGTCAGGCCCAGCCATGGCCTTGGTGGATGAGAGACTGAGCACTGAAGGAACCGGGCTTCCCTTTGGGCTCAGCAACAATCTTCTTGGTTGGATCCTGTTGGGTGTCTTTGGTCTTATATGGGCTCTCTTCTTTCTCTACACTTCAACTCTTGAAGAAGATGAAGAGTCAGGATTGTCCCTTTAAATCCGGATAGCGTGGGTAATGATGGATAATAGAAATTGCGAAGAGTTTTATCATCTGCTGTTGTGTTAAAAACAAACTTGTGTCCTTAATTTTCTCTTCTTTCTTTCAACTCCAACACAATCTTCATCCCTCCTACTTCTTTCTGTTGTTTGTTTGATTCGTAACACTAATTAACATGAACCGCTACGCTACGGTGGAAGTGAAAAGTGGACGAGTAGAAGAAGCATTTGTGTTGGTGTTTCTGGTGAACATATGATTGATTTCGATTTATCG